CCGGGATCGGACCCACGACCTCCTGTAGACCCGGCGAGGTGGTCAACATATCCCAGGGTCCGGGATCGAACCCACGACCTCCTGTATACCAGGCGAGGTAGGCAACATCTCCCAGGGTCCGGCATCGAACCCACGACCTCCTGTAGACCCGGCGAGGTGGTCAACATCTCACAGGGTCCGGGATCGAACCCACGACCTCCTGTATACCCGGCGAGGTGGTCAACATTTCAAAAGGTTTGGGATCGAACCCACGACCTCATGTAGACCAGCCGAGGTAGTCAACATCTCACAGGGTCCGGCATCGAACCCACGACCTCCTGTAGACCCGGCGAGGTGGTCAACATCTCACAGGGTCCGGCATCGAACCCACGACCTCCTGTAGACCAGGCGAGGTGGTCAACATCTCCCAGGGTCCGGCATCGAACTCACGACCTCCTGTGCACCAGGCGAGGTAGTCAACATCTCACAGGGTCCGGGATCGAACCCACGGACCTCCTGTAGACCCGGCGAGGGGGTCAACATCTCGCAGGTTCCGGGATCGAACCCACGACCTCCTGTACACCAGGCTAGGTAGTCAACATCTCACAGGGCCCAGGATCGAACCCACGACCTCCTGTAGACCAGGCGAGGTAGTCAACATCTCCCAGTGTTTGGGATCGAACCCACGACCTCCTGTACACCAGGCGAAGTAGTCAACATCTCCCAGGGTCCGGGATCGAATCCACGACCTCCTGTAGACCCGGCGAGGTGGTCAACATTTCAAAAGGCTTGGGATCGAACCCACGACCTCATGTAGACCAGCCGAGGTAGTCAACATCTCACAGGGTCCGGCATCGAACCCACGACCTCCTGTATACCCAGCGAGGTGGTCAACATCTCACAGGGTCCCGGGATCGAACCCACGACCTCCTGTACACCAGGCGAGGTGGTCAACATCTCACAGGGTCCGGGCTGGAACCCACGCCCTCCTGTACACCAGGCGAGGTGGTCAACATCTCCAAGGGTCCGGCAGCGAACCCACGACCTCCTGTAGACCCGGCGAGGTGGTCAACATCTCCCAGGGTCCGGGATCGAACCCACGACCTCCTGTATACCAGGCGAGGTAGGCAACATCTCCAAGGGTCCGGCATCGAACCCACGACCTCCTGTATACCCGGCGAGGTGGTCAACATTTCAAAAGGTTTGGGATCGAACCCACGACCTCCTGTAGACCAGGCGAGGTAGTCAACATCTCACAGGGTCCGGCATCGAACCCACGACCTCCTGTGTACCAGGCGAACCCACGACCTCCTGTGTACCAGGCGAGGTGGTCAACATCTCATAGGGTCCGGGATCGAACCCACGACCTCCTGTACACCAGGCGAGGTAGTCAACATCTCACAGGGTCCGGCATCGAACCCACGACCTCCTGTACACCTGGCGAAGTAGTTAACATCTCACAGGGTCCCGACCTCCTGTAGACCAGGCGAGGTAGTCAACATCTCCCGGGGTCCGGGATCGAACCCACGACCTCCTGTATACCAGGCGAGGTAGGCAACATCTCCCAGGGTCCGGCATCGAACCCACGACCTCCTGTAGACCAGGCGAGGTAGTCAACATCTCCCAGGGTTTGGGATCGAACCCACGACCTCCTGTATACCAGGCAAGGTAGTCAACATCTCCCAGGGTCCGGGATCGAACCCACGACCTCCTGTAGACCCGGCGAGATGGTCAACATTTCAAAAGGTTTGGGATCGAACCCACGACCACCTCTACACCAGGCGAGGTAGTCAACATCTCACAGGGTCCGGCATCGAACCCACGACCTCCTGTAGATCCGGCGAGGTGGTCAACATCTCCCAGGGTCCGGCATCGAACCCACGACCTCCTGTGTACCCGGCGAAGTAGTCAACATCTCCCAGGGTCTGGGATGGAACCCACGACCTCCTGTAGACCAGGCGAGGTAGTCAACATCTCACAGGGTCTGGGATCGGTCCCACGGACCTCCTGTAGACCAGGCGAGGTAGTCAACATCTCACAGGGTCACGGGATGGAACCCACGACCTCCTCTACACCAGGCGAGGTAGTCAACATCTCACAGGGTCCGGGATCGAACCCACGGACCTCCTGTAGACCAGGCGAGGTGGTCAAAATCTCACAGGGTCCGGGATGGAACCCACGACCTCCTGTATACCAGGCGAGGTAGTCAACATCTCCTAGCCACTGTGGTGTCAGGGTCTAACCCACGACCTCCTGTATACCAGGCGAACCCACGACCTCCTGTGTACCAGGCGAACCCACGACCTCCTGTATAGCCGGCGAGGTGGTCAACATTTCTCAGGGTCCAGGATAGAACCCACGACCTCCTGTACACCAGGCGAGGTGGTCAACATCTCCCAGGGCCCGGGATCGAACCCACGACCTCCTGTAGACAAGGCGAGGTAGTCAACATCTCCCAGGGCCCGGGATCGAACCCACGACCTCCTGTATACCAGGCGACGTGGTCAACATCTCCCAGGGTCCAGGATCGAACCCACGACTTCCTGTAGATCAGGCGAGGTAGTCAACATCTCCCAGGGTCTGGGATCGAACCCACGACCTCCATTACACCAGGTGAGGTGGTCAACATCTCCCAGGGTCCGGGATGGAACCCACGACCTCCTGTAGAACAGGTGAGGTAGTCAACATCTCACAGTATCCGTAATAGAACCCACGACCTCCTGTATACCAGGCGAGGTAGTCAACATCTCACAGGGTCCGGGATAGAACCCACGACCTCCTGTATACCAGGCGAGGTGGTCAACATCTCACAGGGTCCAGGATAGAACCCACGACCTCCTGTAGACCAGGCGAGGTGGTCAACATCTCACAGGGTCTGGGATCGAACCCACGGACCTCCTGTATACCAGGCGAACCCACGACCTCCTGTGTACCAGGCGAGGTGGTTAACATCTCCCAGGGTCCGGGATGGAACCCACGACCTCCTGTGTCCCCGGCGAGGTAGTCAACATCTCAAAGGGTCTGGGATCGAACCCACGACCTCCTGTACACCCGGCGAGGTAGTCAACATCTCCCAGGGCCCGGGATCGAACCCACGACGTCCTGTAGACCAGGCGAGGTGGTCAACATCTCACAGGGTCCGGGATCGAACCCACGCCCTCCTGTATACCAGGCGAGGTAGTCAACATCTCACAGGGTCTGGGATCGAACCCACGACCCCCTGTAGACCCGGCGAGGTAGTCAACATCTCCCAGGGTCCGGGATGGAACCCACGACCTCCTGTGTACCAGGCGAGGTAGTCAACATCTCCCAGGGTCCGGGATCGAACCCACGACCTCTTGTAGACCAGGCGAGGTGGTCAACATCTCCCAGGGCCCGGGATCGAACCCACGACCTCCTGTACACCAGGCGAGGTAGTCAACATCTCCCAGGGTCTGGGATCGAACTCACGACGTCCTGTATACCAGGCGAGGTGGTCAACATCTCTCAGGGTCCAGGATAGAACCCACGACCTCCTGTAGACCAGGCGAGGTGGTCAACATCTCACAGGGTCCAGGATAGAACCCACGACCTCCTGTAGACCAGGCGAGGTGGTCAACATCTCACAGGGTCTGGGATCGAACCCACGGACCTCCTGTATACCAGGCGAGGTGGTCAACATCTCCCAGGGTCTTGGATCGAACCCACGACCTCCTGTATACCCGGCGAGGTGGTCAACATCTCACAGGGTCCGGCATCGAACCCACGACCTCCTGTAGACCAGGCGAGGTGGTCAACATCTCCCAGGGTCCGGCATCGAACTCACGACCTCCTGTGCACCAGGCGAGGTAGTCAACATCTCACAGGGTCCGGGATCGAACCCACGACCTCCTGTAGACCAGGCGAGGTAGTCAACATCTCACAGGGTCACGGAATGGAACCCACGACCTCCTCTACACCAGGCGAGGTAGTCAACATCTCACAGGGTCCGGGATCGAACCCACGGACCTCCTGTAGACCCGGCGAGGGGGTCAACATCTCGCAGGTTCCGGGATCGAACCCACGACCTCCTGTACACCAGGCTAGGTAGTCAACATCTCACAGGGTCCAGGATCGAACCCACGACCTCCTGTAGACCAGGCGAGGTAGTCAACATCTCCCAGGGTTTGGGATCGAACCCACGACCTCCTGTACACCAGGCGAAGTAGTCAACATCTCCCAGGGTCCGGGATCGAATCCACGACCTCCTGTAGACCCGGCGAGGTGGTCAACATTTCAAAAGGTTTGGGATCGAACCCACGACCTCATGTAGACCAGCCGAGGTAGTCAACATCTCACAGGGTCCGGCATCGAACCCACGACCTCCTGTAGACCCGGCGAGGTAGTCAACATCTCACAGGGTCCGGGATCGAACCCACGACCTCCTGTAGACCAGGCGAGGTAGTCAACATCTCACAGGGTCACGGGATGGAACCCACGACCTCCTCTACACCAGGCGAGGTAGTCAACATCTCACAGGGTCCGGGATCGAACCCACGGACCTCCTGTAGACCCGGCGAGGGGGTCAACATCTCACAGGGTCCGGGATCGAACCCACGGACCTCCTGTAGACCCGGCGAGGTAGTCAACATCTCTCAGGGTCCGGGATAGAACCCACGACCTCCTGTATACCAGGCGAGGTAGTCAACATCTCACAGCGTCCGGGATAGAACCCACGACCTCCTGTAGACCAGGCGAGGTGGTCAACATCTCACAGCCTCCGGGATCGAACCCACGACCTCCTGTAGACCAGGCGAGGTAGTCAACATCTCCCAGGGCCCAGGATCGAACCCACGATCTCCTGTATACCAGGCGAGGTGGTCAACATCTCCCAGGGTCTGGGATCGAACCCACGAGCTCCTGTAGACCCGGCGAGGTGGTCAACATCTCCCAGGGTCCGGGATCGAACCCCCGACCTCCTGTGTACCAGGCGAGGTGGTCAACAACTCCCAGGGTCTGGGATCGAACCCACGAACTCCTGTACACCAGACGAACCCCCGACCTCCTGTATAGCCGGCGAGGTGGTCAACATTACTCACGGGTCGATAGCGGACGGTGTACCCCGTCACGGGAAGACCGCCATCGTCCTCCACCGAGAGAGACAACACCTGCGGCTCGCCAGGACGCTGGGAGATGTTCGGCGGACTTGGAGCGACTGGTGGTGGGGAGGGAGATGGTGGGGAGGGAGATGGTGGGGAGGGAGGTGGTGGGGAGGGAGATGGGAGGGTGGGGAGGAAGATGGGAAGGTGGGGAGAGAGATGGGGGAGGGGATGGGAAGGTGGGGAGAGAGATGGGGGAGGGAGATGGGAAGGTGGGGGGAGAGATGGGAGGGAGATGGGGAGGGAGATGAGTGGGTGTGGAGAGAGATGGGGGAGAGATGGGGGAGAGATGGGAGGGAGATGGGGAGGGAGATGAGTGGGTGTGGAGAGAGTTGGGAGAGAGATGGGGGAGAGATGGGAGGGAGATGGGGAGGGAGATGAGTGGGTGTGGAGAGAGTTGGGGGAGAGATGGGGTAGAGATGGGAGGGAGATGGGGAGGGAGATGAGTGGGTGTGGAGAGAGATGGGAGAGAGATGGAGAGAGAGATGGGAGGGAGATGGGGAGGGAGATGAGTGGGTGTGGAGAGAGTTGGGGGAGAGATGGGGTAGAGATGGGAGGGAGATGGGGAGGGAGATGAGTGGGTGTGGAGAGAGTTGGGAGAGAGATGGGGGAGAGATGGGAGGGAGATGGGGAGGGAGATGAGTGGGTGGGGAGAGAGTTGGGAGAGAGATGGGGGAGAGATGGGAGGGAGATGGGGAGGTAGATGAGTGGGTGTGGAGAGATTTGGGATAGAGATGGGAGGGAGATGGGGAGGGAGATGAGTGGGTGTGGAGAGAGATGGGGGAGAGATGGAGAGAGAGATGAGTGGGTGTGGAGAGATTTGGGAGAGAGATGGGAGGGAGATGGAGAGAGAGATGAGTGGGTGTGGAGAGAGATGGGGGAGAGATGGAGAGAGAGATGAGTGGGTGTGGAGAGAGATGGGGGAGAGATGGGGGAGAGATGGGAGGGAGATGGGGAGGGAGATGAGTGGGTGGGGAGAGAGATGGTGGAGAGATGGGAAGGTGGGGAGAGAGATGGGGGAGGGGATGAGTGGGTGGGGAGAGAGATGGGGAGGGAGATGGGAAGGTGGGGGGAGAGATGGGGAGGGAGATGGGGAGGGAGATGGGGAGGGAGATGAGTGGGTGTGGAGAGAGTTGGGAGAGAGATGGGGAGAGATGGGAGGGAGATGGGGAGGGAGATGAGTGGGTGTGGAGAGAGATGGGGGAGAGATGGGGTAGAGATGGGGGAGAGATGGGGAGGGAGATGGGGAGGGAGATGGGGAGGGAGATGAGTGGGTGTGGAGAGATGAGTGTGTGGGGAGAGAGATGGGGTAGAGATGGGAGGGAGATGGGGAGGGAGATGAGTGGGTGTGGAGAGAGATGGGGGAGAGATGGGGGAGTGATGGGAAGGTGGGGAGAGAGATGGGGAGGGAGATGAGTGGGTGTGGAGAGAGATGGGGGAGAGATGGGGGAGAGATGGGAGGGAGATGGGGAGGGAGATGAGTGGGTGTGGAGAGAGATGGGGGAGAGATGGGGGAGAGATGGGAGGGAGATGGGGAGGGAGATGAGTGGGTGTGGAGAGAGATGGGGGAGAGATGGGGGAGAGATGGGAGGGAGATGGGGAGGGAGATGAGTGGGTGTGGAGAGAGATGGGGGAGAGATGGGGTAGAGATGGGAGGGAGATGGGGAGGGAGATGAGTGGGTGTGGAGAGATTTGGGAGAGAGATGGGGGAGAGATGGGAGGGAGATGAGTGGGTGTGGAGAGAGTTGGGAGAGAGATGGGGGAGAGATGAGAAGGAGATGGGGAGGGAGATGAGTGGGTGTGGAGAGAGATGGGGGAGAGATGGGGGAGAGATGGGAGGGAGATGGGGAGGGAGATGGGGAGGGAGATGAGTGGGTGTGGAGAGAGTTGGGAGAGAGATGGGGGAGAGATGGGAGGGAGATGGGGAGGGAGATGAGTGGGTGTGGAGAGAGATGGGGGAGAGATGGGGTAGAGATGGGAGGGAGATGGGGAGGGAGATGAGTGGGTGTGGAGAGAGATGGGGGAGAGATGGGGGAGAGATGAGTGTGTGGGGAGAGAGATGGGGGAGAGATGGGGGAGAGATGGGTGGGAGATGGGGAGGGAGATGAGTGGGTGTGGAGAGAGTTGGGAGAGAGATGGGGGAGAGATGAGAAGGAGATGGGGAGGGAGATGAGTGGGTGTGGAGAGAGTTGGGAGAGAGATGGGGGAGAGATGGGGGAGAGATGGGGAGGGAGATGAGTGGGTGTGGAGAGAAATGGGGGAGAGATGGAGAGAGATGGGAGGGAGATGGGGAGGGAGATGGGGAGGGAGATGGGGAGGGAGATGAGTGGGTGTGGAGAGAGTTGGGAGAGAGATGGGGGAGAGATGGGAGGGAGATGGGGAGGGAGATGAGTGGGTGTGGAGAGAGATGGGGGAGAGATGGGGGAGAGATGAGTGTGTGGGGAGAGAGATGGGGGAGAGATGGGGGAGAGATGGGAGGGAGATGGGGAGGGAGATGAGTGGGTGTGGAGAGAGTTGGGAGAGAGATGGGGGAGAGATGAGAAGGAGATGGGGAGGGAGATGAGTGGGTGTGGAGAGAGATGGGGGAGAGATGGGGGAGAGATGGGAGGGAGATGGGGAGGGAGATGGGGAGGGAGATGAGTGGGTGTGGAGAGAGTTGGGAGAGAGATGGGGGAGAGATGGGAGGGAGATGGGGAGGGAGATGAGTGGGTGTGGAGAGAGATGGGGGAGAGATGGGGTAGAGATGGGAGGGAGATGGGGAGGGAGATGAGTGGGTGTGGAGAGAGATGGGGGAGAGATGGGGGAGAGATGAGTGTGTGGGGAGAGAGATGGGGGAGAGATGGGGGAGAGATGGGAGGGAGATGGGGAGGGAGATGAGTGGGTGTGGAGAGAGTTGGGAGAGAGATGGGGGAGAGATGAGAAGGAGATGGGGAGGGAGATGAGTGGGTGTGGAGAGAGTTGGGAGAGAGATGGGGGAGAGATGGGGGAGAGATGGGGAGGGAGATGAGTGGGTGTGGAGAGAAATGGGGGAGAGATGGAGAGAGATGGGAGGGAGATGGGGAGGGAGATGGGGAGGGAGATGGGGAGGGAGATGAGTGGGTGTGGAGAGAGTTGGGAGAGAGATGGGGGAGAGATGGGAGGGAGATGGGGAGGGAGATGAGTGGGTGTGGAGAGAGTTGGGAGAGAGATGGAGAGAGAGATGGGAGGGAGATGGTGAGGGAGATGAGTGGGTGTGGAGAGAGTTGGGAGAGAGATGGGGGAGAGATGGGAGGGAGATGGTGAGGGAGATGAGTGGGTGTGGAGAGAGATGGGGGAGAGATGGGGGAGAGATGGGGGAGAGATGGGAGGGAGATGGGGAGGGAGATGAGTGGGTGTGGAGAGAGTTGGGAGAGAGATGGGGGAGAGATGGGGAGGGAGATGGGGAGGGAGATGAGTGGGTGTGGAGAGAGATGGGGGAGAGATGGAGAGAGAGATGGGAGGGAGATGGTGAGAGAGATGGGGAGGGAGATGGGGAGGGAGATGGGGAGGGAGATGAGTGGGTGTGGAGAGAGTTGGGAGAGAGATGGGGGAGAGATGGGAGGGAGATGGGGAGGGAGATGAGTGGGTGTGGAGAGAGTTGGGAGAGAGATGGGGGAGAGATGGGAGGGAGATGGTGAGGGAGATGAGTGGGTGTGGAGAGAGTTGGGAGAGAGATGGGGAGAGATGGGAAGGAGATGGGGAGGGAGATGAGTGGGTGTGGAGAGAGTTGGGAGAGAGATGGGGGAGAGATGGGAGGGAGATGGGGAGGGAGATCAGTGGGTGTGGAGAGAGTTGGGGGAGAGATGGGGGAGAGATGGGAAGGAGATGGGGAGGGAGATGAGTGGGTGTGGAGAGAGATGGGGGAGAGATGGGGGAGAGATGGGAAGGAGATGGGGAGGGAGATGAGTGGGTGTGGAGAGAGTTGGGAGAGAGATGGGGGAGAGATGGGAGGGAGATGGGCAGGGAGATGAGTGGGTGTGGAGAGAGATGGGGGAGAGATGGGGGAGAGATGGGAGGGAGATGGGGAGAAAGATGAGTGGGTGTGGAGAGAGATGGGGGAGAGATGGGGGAGAGATGGGGGAGAGATGGGAGGGAGATGGGGAGAAAGATGAGTGGGTGTGGAGAGAGATGGGGGAGAGATGGGGGAGAGATGAGTGTGTGGGGAGAGAGATGGGGAGGTGGTAGGGAGGGAGATGGCGTGAAGAGATGGGGGAGAGATGGGGGAGAGATGGGGAGGTGGTGAAGAGAGAGATGGTGAGATAGAGAGAGAGATGGAGAGAGAGAGAGAGAGAGATGGTGAGAGAGAGATGGTGAGTGAGAGAGAGATAGTGAGAGAGAGATGGTGAGAGAGATGGTGAGAGAGATGGTGAGAGAGAGATGTTGAGAGAGAGAGATGGTGAGAGAGAGATGGTGTGAGAGAGAGATGGTGAGAGATATGGTGAGAGAGAGAGGTGGTGAGAGAGATGGTGAGAGAGAGAGGTGGTGAGAGAGATGGTGAGAGAGATGGTGAGAGAGAGATGTTTAGAAAGAGAGAGATGGTGAGAGAGATGTTGAGAAAGAGATGGTGAGAGAGAGATGGTGAGAGAGATGGTGAGAGAGATGGTGAGAGAGATGGTGAGAGAGAGAGATGGTGAGAGAGATGGTGAGAGAGAGATGGTGAGAGAGATGGTGAGAGAGATGTTTAGAAAGAGAGAGAGATGGTGAGAGAGATGGTGAGAGAGAGATGGTGAGAGAGAGATGGTGAGAGAGAGATGTTGAGAAAGAGAGAGATGTTTAGAATGAGAGGGAGAGAGTGAGAGAGTGAGAGAGAGATGGCGAGTGGAATAGCGACACTCCTACCTGTACGTGGCACATCAGGAATGGACCTGCGTGTTAATGATTTCTCTCTCGTACAGCGACTGGGTCGCGTGTGAGCTTAGTGAAGACCCCCCTTTGTCTGCTGTGCGCTAGGGCTGTACGATTTTGGGAAAAAATATGGACAATTTGACAGATCGATTGCGATTTGATTTTCGATGAAATTTTTTTTTTAAATTCAAGC